GGGCCGCCTGCTCCTGGAGCCGCAGGGACTCCTGGAGTGAGGACAGGGAGACAAAGAAAGGGTAATCAGGAGCTCCGCCGGAGTCTAGATCCTCCCCTCCCTCTCCATCCCTGGCCTATCTCTGAGCAGGTGGCCTCTAGGCTGGGCTCACAGGCCAGCCACCTGGGAGACCCCACAGAAGCCCCACTGTCCTCACTGAACACATGAGGCCCAGAGAAGCGCTGTGTCCCACGCAGGCCACAGACTACTGGGGGAGAGCAGGCCGCAGAACCCCGGCCAGACGCCACACAGAAGGGTGAACAACCAGGAGGGACCCGCGAGGAGTGTCCCTCAGGTGGGGAGGTAGCTGAGTTCCCAGAGGAAGAGCCCTGGAGCAGGAGGGCACAGGCAGGAATCCAAGTCCTAACTCTCCTGCTGACTGGCTATGAGGTTCTGAACGAGCATTTCCCTCTTGGGCCTGTTTCCTCGTCTGTGTCAGGGGCATCAGGCCACAGAGGTGTTGGGAGGACGAAATGGGATTTAAAAAGGCAAGTGTGCTTACCACTAAGCCTGGCTCACACTAGGAGGGCTGAAACTGAGTGGGAGTGGGATGCATGGAGTGGCTCACACAGCCCCGCCCCAGGCCTGTGTCCATGGATCTAGCCAGGCCCCCATCCCACCTTGCCACAGCTAGGGGGCAGCTGCATCTCACCAGGGCCTCAAGTTTCTCCGTGAGGGTCTTGTTGGCCCGATCCTTCTCCAGATTCTGGTTCTGAAGATTCTCCACTTCCAAGGTCAGCTCTGTCACTCTGGATTTGGGGGAACAACAGAGATGAATCGGGGATCCCCCTTGCTTCTCAAATCCACCAGCTTCTGTGTCCTCCATGCTTCCCCAAACCTGAAGCAGGGGCCCTAAGAGCCACCCCCTAGCTGTGTGACCTTAGGCAAGTCACTTCTCTCTCTGGGCCTCAACTTCTCACCTGTAAAATGGACATGAGGATACCATTGGCTTTCCCCATAGGAATGCACTCTGGGACTGGTCCAAGTGGCAGGAGTTCGGGGTACAAGTTCTGCCATCGGAGGCTGAACTGCCTTCAGGGTACCCTGGGCAAGTGCCCGCGGGACCTCAGACAGGGTGCCCGGGAGACTGGCTGAGCTCACACGGGGAAGGGCCCAGCCCAGGTGAACAGACACTGCCCTCCCCAAGTCTCCAGGCACATCCTCTGCAGGGCAGCCTGCCCGCCCGGCACCCGCAGGTACCACCTGGCACTGAGCTCAGCCTTGTCCAGCGCGTTCTGAGCCTGCTGCTGGGCCACATCCTTCTCACGGAGTGCCTTGTGCTGCAGCTGCTCCTCCAGCTGGGCCTGCAGCAGGTTCTCCTTCTCCAGGGCCGCCTCGGCCCGACTCTCCGCCAGCCGCAGGCCCGTGCTCAGCCCCAGGCCTGCCTCCTGGACAGCCCGGGACGTCCGGGCCAGATCCCCACCTAGCTGTAGCAGGTCCCTGGGGAAGACAGTGCAGGATGGGGATGGGGGGTGGCACCCAAGTGCAGATTAAAAATACATTGGAGCCGGGCTCGGTGGCTCAGCCTGTAATCCCGTGCCTTTGGGAGGCTGAGGTGAGTGGATTGCCTGAACCCATGGGTTCGAGACCCTCCTGGGCAGGCGAGACCTCATCTCTACAATAAATAAAAAAAATTAGCCGGGCGTGGTAGTGTGCACCTATAGTTCCAGCTACTTGGAAGGCTGAGGCAGAAGGATCACCGGAGCCCAGGAGGTCAAGGCTGCGGTGGCTGGGAGTGGCCACTGCACTCCAGTCTTGGCGACAGTGAGACTCCAACTCAAAAAAAAAAAACAAAAACTACACTGGGCTGGGCATGGCACACATCTGTAGTCCCAGCTACTGAGAAGGCTGAGGTGGGAGGATCGCTTGTGAGCCCAGGAATTCATGGTCAGCCTGGTCAACACAGTAAGACCGCCCCACTAAAAATATAATTTAAAAATTACACGAGGATACCATTTGTCACTGTCAGATTGACCCAAAAAAAAATGGATAGTGTGGGTGAGGCTGCGGGGTGACAGGCCCTCCTCTACAGGGCTGGCAGAAGGGCAACTGGGAAGAAACTTGAAAGTACAAATGTGGGGCCAAGCACAGTGGTTCACGCCTACAATCCCAGCACTTTGGGAGGCGGAGATAAGAGGATTGCCTGAGTCCATGGGTTTGAGACCAGCCTGGGCAGCATGGCGAGACCTCATCTTTACAATAAATAAAAAATTAGCTGGGCATGGTGGCACACGCCTGTAGTTCCAGTTACTTGGAAGGCTGAGGCGGAAGGATCGCCAGAGCCCAGCAGGTCGAGGCTGTGGTGGCCGGGAGCAGCCACAGCACTCCAGTCTGGCCGACAGAGTGAGACTCCAACTCAAAAAAAAAAGAATTCTAGTTAATACACGAAAGATGCAATCACAATTTTGTCGCCTTTGAGGAATGTCTGGATCTTGGCATTCAGCATCAAGCGCTGTCAGGGTCATGAAAAGAGAAACACCCAGGTCTAGGGGCCTCCTGATGGAAGTGCACACTGCATTTATGAAGTCTTGCCAAAAAAAAGGCCGGGCTTGGTGGCTCAGCCTGTAAACACAGCACTTTGGGAGGCCGAGGCGAGAGGATTGCCTGAGCCCGGTGGTTTGAGACAAGACTGGGCAACTTGGTAAGACCTCATCCCTACAATAAATCACAAAAACTATCCAGGCATGGTGGCGCATGCCTGTAGTTCCAGTCACTTGGAAGGCTGAGGCAGAAGGCTCACTGGAGCCCAGCAGGTCGACGCTTGGGTGGCCGTAAGTATGCCACTACACTCCAGCCTGGGTGATGAGTGTGACGCCAACTCAAAAAAAAAAAAAACAACCCAGAACCTGAACTTGATCTAGCCTTAGATCTAACACCAATTTACAGGAAATACAAGGGACAAAGGGACGTGTTAAATGACACCACAGGGATGCAACCAGCAAAATCCAGACTATGGGACTCTAAGGTCAACTGGCCTGTTTTCCTGACAAATAAGTTAAAAGAGGCTTAAAAGACAAAGCCACCAACCACATTTTGTGAATGCCTATGGCTCCTGCTTCAAACAGATTATAAAGAAAAAGGGAAGCAAAACTATCTGTGACGTATATGAATCTACTGGACACAGTTTGCTAGTATTAAGAAAAGATCAGTAATTTAAAAATTTTAATGTGAGCCGGGCTCGGTGGCTCAGCCTGTAATCCCGCGCCTTTGGGAGGCTGAGGTGAGTGGACTGCCTGAGCCTGCAGGTTCGAGAAATCAAAAAAATCAGCCGGGCGTGGTGGCGCATGCCTGTAATTCCGGCTTCTCCGAAGGCTGAGGCGAAAGGATCGCCGGAGCCCAGCAAGCGAGGCTGCGGTGGCCGGGAGCGGCCACTGCACTCCAGTCTGGGCGACCAAGTGAGACTCCAACTCAAAAAAAGAAAAAAAAATATTTTAATGTTAAGAAGGAAACTCATGGGTCTTGTGCCCACCTGGTCACAGCCTGCCTCTGCTCAAAGACCTGTGGGCCGAGCTCCCTCGCGAGGCGGGCTCTCCCTTCCCTTCACCCGCCTCTCGCCCCAGCTCCTCTAGCCACCATATGCTCCCACCTCCAAGCCTCTGCTCACACTGTCACCCCGGCTCTCTCAATCCTACCCATCCCTGAGGCCCTGCACATATTCTACCCTCCACCCCACGAGGCGTTTCTCTGACCTCCTCGCCTCTCCCCTCCTGCTGAGCCTTCAGGATATTCCTCTGTCCCACTTTCATGTCACCAACCACTCACTTTCTCAGTCTAGGGTTTTGAGGGCCTACAGCTTTTCATCACGAGAGGTTGCGAGGCCCTTGGCAGCAGAAGCTGAACATTCTAGTGAATTAAAAGCAGGAGATGCAAACTCTGACTCAGCCATTTATGTATCACTGTGTGACCTTAGGAAGGTCACTCAACTTCTTTGAGCCTTAGTATCCTCATCTGTAAAATGGGCATTATTACCGGTTCTTATCTCACAGGAACACTGGAATCCTAGTTAAAATGAAATATATGGCTGGGCACAGTAGTTCAAGCCTGTAATCCCAGCACTTTGGGAGGCCAAAGCGAGAGGATTGCCTGAGTTCAGGGGTTCGAGACCAGCCTGGGCAACTTGGTGAGACCTTGTCTCTACAATAAATAAATAAAAAATCAGCCGGACATGGTAGCGTGCACCTGTAGTTCCAGCTCCTTGGAAGGCAAAGGCGGAAGGATCGCCTGAGCCAGCAGGTTGGGGTTGCAGTGGCTGCAGGAATGCCACTGCACTCCATCCTGGACAACAGAGTGAGACTCCGACTCAAAAGCACAAAACAAAACAACATCAACAACCAAAAAATGAAATGTACAAGCCAGGCATGGTGGCTCACGTCTGGAATCTCAGTACTTTGGGAGGCAGAGGGCCCGGCACATAGTAGGTTCAATTGAGCTCAGTGTGGAGAGCAGGCTTGGCCCCCCCACCCCCCACCGTCGTGCAGCCTCCCAAGTGGCCCCACCCCCCGCCAGGCCTCCCCTCTCGGTGGACATCTTCACCTCGCTGACCTGCCGTCGGACCCCCACCACCTGCCTCCACAAGAGAAGCAGGCGACTGTGCTCATTGCTGAAGTAGGCGTTGAAGGACTGGAGGGAAGACACGCCAAGGGCAGGGGTGGAGTGAGGGCTCATGCACTTCCTCCCACGACTACTCTAGCCCCACCACCCCAAGAGGCGCCGTCACCTAGGGAGCGGGGCTTCCCCTGGGCGGGCTCTGGGCCTGTGCGGAGAGCCGTGTCCCCGCAGCCACATGCAGACTCCCAGGACTCACAGGTCCCTCCCGCACAGGGAATGGGTTTCGAGTCCCTTCCAAGCTGCAAGAGGTGGCGAGGAAGGACAGAAAGCACAGGAGACCTGGGTTTATATCCCAGCTGCCAGCTGCGTGATCGTGCACACGTTACTTACTCTCTCTTTATTTTTATTTATTTATAAGTAAATAAAGGATCTCACTGTCTCCCAGGCTGGAATGGCACAATCATAGCTCACTACAACCTCAAATCCCTGGGCTCAAGCAATCCTCCCACCTCTCTCCCTCTGGTAAATAGGGCTACAGGCGCCCACCATCACGCCCAGTTAATTTTTAAATTTTTTTTTTTTTTAGAGACGGGGTCTTGCTATGTTGCCCAAGCTGGTCTTGAACCCCTGACCTCAAACAATCCTCCCACCTCAGCCTCCCAAAAAGCTGGGATTTCAGGCATAAACCATCATGCCTGGACTATTCTCTTCATTTTAAAGAGAGGTTAGAGCCAGGCTCTGTGGCTCAGTCTGTAATCCCGTACCTTGGGAGGCTGAGGTGAGTGGATTGCCTGAGCCCACGGGTTCGAGACCCACCTGGATAACTTGGTGAGACCTCATCTCTACAATAAAAAATCAAAAATTAGCCAGGTATGGTAGGGTGCACCTGTAGTTCCAGCTACTTGGAAGGTTGAGGCGGAAGGATCGCTGGAACCCAGCAGGTCGAGGCTGCGGTGGCCGGGAG